CAGCATCCAACATCTGCAGCATCCAACATCTGCAGCATCCAACATCTGCAGCATCCAACATCTGCAGGGTGCTTGTAGGAGCGTTCATGTAAATATCACCGTAATCAATGGAGGGAAGGAAAGTCACAGATACAAGGTGTTTCCTAACATTCAGGGTTAGACAGGATCTGTTTCTGGAAAAGAAACCCAGTTTAACTTTCAGTTTCTTTACCAAGTTTTCCACATGGAGCTTAAAAGAGAGATGTGAGTCGACCAAGATACCCAAATATTTGTAGGAATCGACAAACTAAATTCGGGCACCATTCAAGGATACAATCGAAGGAAGAACTGCTGGGACCGACTTCCTGTTTGAAAACAACATCCCTTTGATTTTGTCGGCATTTGCGGATACCATACCATACCATTTTATTTATAAAGCGCTTTAAACAGCGACAGGGCCAACCAAAATGCTGTACAAAAAGAAACAAACAGGCAAAGCATACAGCAACACATAACAGATGTTGGGTGCTATCTACCATAGCGCCCTAAGATTCATAACTGGTTGTAACTACCATACCCATCACTGCATCCTATACTCCTTGGTCAGTTGGCCATCATTATATACACGTAGGCTCTCACACTGGTGCATTTTTATCTATAAATCCCTCCTTCTTATATCTGCTCCCACTTGTCACGTAGTCAGTGCAGCTACAACATGCATCAGGACATAATTACCTGCAGCATTCCCTCAGTGCAGACTGAACTTGGAAAAAAGGCCTTTCTTACTTGGCTTCTACAACCTGGAACACCTTGCAACAGGAACTGAAGTTGTCTACCTTGATTTCTTTAAGAGGTTTTAAACATTTGGAAATCAAAGCAAATATGTTCTTGTTTTTAATATTTTACCTTATTTTATGGCACCCTGATTTATTGTTTTATACACACTTATTTTTGCTGCATTTTTACGGTAGTTTGTTATTATTGTTTATTGTTATTGTTGTTTGTACTTTATATGTTCTCTGGAACAGGTAAATGAGTCCTCGAGGCTTCATGAGACTAACTTGTATAAATAAAGGTTGAATGAAAGGTAGGAGGCAGGTAATTACAGGTGACATACAGGTAGGAGACAAATGATTAGAGCTAACAAACAGGTCGGAGCCCGGTATTTAATGGTGACACACAGGTTGGAGGCAGGTGATCACAGGTGACACACAGATACTTTACTGGTGACGATGTGTTCATTTGCTTGCAGAAACGTGATTTGTCGTCAGAAGAAAAAGAAAAGTTTCCATATGACATCGTAAAGATGGCGTTGCCACCTGAGGCTCAGATGGCACCTGACTCTGATGTATGGCACTCAATAATCTGGTTTGTCGTTAGCCATAGTTCTGGTTTCTGATCCATCCTCTGTTTGCAGGATCTCCGTGAGAATGATGACACGTCCACTACTGATGACCTCGTTGAGGCATCGGCGAATCAGGAGCTTGATAAGTCTCCTAACGCGACACTGCAAGTGCAGGAAGCCATCTTGAAAGAGCTAACCAATGAGGATGTACATAAGGTACACACACTCGTCTGTTTATAGACACAGATCCTCTCCTGAACCTGATCCTTACCTGAATCTCGCCTGACCTGGAGGATGAAGGTCTCCTTTACCTGAACCTTTACGTCACCTTTGAATTTTTAATGTAGACTAGATGTCTTCAGCAGAAATTATAGAACAGGTGAAACTGTCCTTGGGTAACACCTGTGTGATTTCTCCAGGTGGCCTGTTATGACCAGGATGTGGTGACAGAAATGGAGGCAGAGCCTAAAGAACTTGGGGCGGAGCATCATGCCACCCAGACACTGACGTTTACAGATAATATTGGTGAAGTGAAGGATGAGCAGGCACCAGGCTGGTCGACAACTACAGCTGAGATGAAGTTTGAATACCTTCTGTATGGACATCGTGAACAACTTGCCTGCCAGGTGTGCGGGAAAACCTTCCTAGATGAAAGTAAACTCAGGTATGTGCTCACCTGGACAAAAAATTTACTGTAGCAAAATGTCAACTTATTCTCATCATCACACTCTTGACCTGGTTCTGACATATGGTATAGAGGGTAAGTACTTAGTAATACAGCCCAGTGTTTCCCCTAGGTTACTTGCTCTGGGAGGGCGCTCGTCTCTTCTTGGTTTTTGTCGAGGTTGTAAGAGAAGCGGAGCACTATGTTTGTATTGTGCATAGTTTAGAACTGCTACAATATCCACTCCCCGTCCAGAAGTGGTGGCGCTGCGTGGGGAGTGGGGAATTAGGTAGGCGGGGCGTTCAGTTCTGTTGACAGGGTGGGGCACCCTCCTTTAATAATGATAGAGAAAATACTGCATCCTCACAGCTCTGTTCAGTCTGACCATGTTTTGATTACCTTGGGGTTTACATTACATGACTACACCGTCACTGAGAGTAAATTTCACCTTAGCAGGTACTTATCAGAAAATGCTGTAACCAAATTTAAAGATTCTCTTACATCATTGTTGTCTTACAGAGTAATGCATCCGAGAGCAGTGACTTAGATCATCTGGTTGATAATTTTACAACTTCTTTGCAAACTTCACTTGATAAAGCTGCTCTGCTGAAAAAGAACGTAATCAATCAGAGGCACCTTGGTTCAATTCTGAGTTACGTACTTTAAAACGGGGATCTATAAAGCTTGAAAGAAATGGCGCTCTACTAATCCAATAATTCTCAGTCGGGTCATCTGGACAGTTTCTTTTTTTTATAGAGACGTTTCGTCCTCTATCCGGAGGGCTTCATCAGTGAGGAGTTCCAGTAAACTGTTTCCCCACCAAGCAGTACACTCCTTAAGTGGACCAACCAGTTTATTGGAGATGAGATGGTTTCTGGGGGCCGTCCTGTCCCTTGCCGACTCCTCCCAGTCAGGCAGCCACAGCCAAAGTGGTTCAAGGCAGCAAAGTTCATGCTCTGTCATCCAGGTACCTGGATGATTGAGCAGACCAGTTATGTTGGTGCTAAGATGGTCTCTGATGAAGCCTTCTGGATGGAAGGTGAAACGTTTCAGCACAAAAACAAGAAACTGTCCAGATGACCTGACTGAAAATTGTTGGCATGTTTCCTTTGCTTCATCAGAATCCTGGCTGCACTGTTCTATACATACTGAAGTTTTTGAATGTGCTTGTATGGAATTCCATAAAAAAGTGCATTGCAGTAGTCCAGTCTTGAGGAGACGAAAGTGTAGTATGTCATATAGGATATATATTCATACTTTTTCACGAGTTCCTCATCTTTCTGACTGTGTAAATGTCGTGCATTGAATTTTAACAGAAATGTAACGAGAGACGTTATTATCTTTGACCCATCAAAATGAATGCGGTCATTTATTTTCAGAATCAAAGTTTAACATCAAACATTTACATTAATTTGGCAAAATATGAAAATAATAACAGACAAGTTTCACAAATAATAGACTTCAATCACACGGCGGTGATTGAGGACTTAGCTTCAGATATTTCTAAAATATCTGTACTGATTTTAAGAGAAAGCAGAGTTTAAGATGGAAATGGAGATTTATCTTACAGAGAGATTTGTGAGGGAATTAATCTGTTTGACCAGAAAACGTGCACGCTCCTTCAGATCTCAGCTTGCGACGGTAAGCTTGGTAGAAGTAGAATCGTTACCTGGTTGATGATAAATCAGCTCGGTATAGAATCCTTCAGACTCTTTCAGCGTCTCCGTTGAGAGCAGCTGAAATCCTTCGAGAGTCGTGCGAGGTTTTTCAAACAGAAGTTATAATCCCAAAACGTCTCTGGATCATCCTGAACGCGTTTGCATCCAAGAGCTCTGAACTCCCATCACTCTTCAGCACTCTGTGTGGAACTCTCAGAGCTCTGCAGCATCAGACTCTTTAGCTCCATTAATCTTCAGCGTCTGGCTTCAGACTTCGGACTTTGTGCACTCTCTCGTTGAACTCATTCCTGAGCGCAGCACTGCAGCAACTCAGCAACTCCGCAACTCTAACATGAACTGGGAAGTTGCCACATTTTAAATGGGTCGACTTCCGGGTCATTTGAGAGCTTTTTGATTGGTCGATGGACCAGAAATAGAGGTGTGGTTTGTGATGTAAGATGTTATCAAATTCGAGGTCAGAGAATGAGATTGTTTAACAACAGACAGAAAGATTATTGCAAAAAACCAGACTTCGTGGAGTCTCACTCTGCTGTATCTTCTCAAATAGTTAAACATGACATTTTTCTCAGTAAACATTTTAGTTGACCGAGAACCGACCTTTAACATACTTACAAAACTTGGCTCATTGAAGACAGAAAATCAAGAAATGCATATTAACCTGATTTCTTCTTTGAATGAGGAATAAAAATCATTACTTACTGTTTATGTAAAATAAAAATGAGTAGTTTTCTTCAACCTGTAAACATTGAGTAAACTAACACAATTTGATTATCAAACATTTGTAAAATAGTAATGATCATAGAGAATTGTCTTTTCTGCTTGATTAATTCAAGAAAGAAAGTCACCAGATGGCTCAAACTGTATTTCTGGATGCAGATCAATGAAATAACAGTCTCTGTTCATCTGATCAAGATTTGGGGTCAGATCAGGTTCACTACAAAAGCATGGACACGTTTTTCAGCATCGGAAAAGGAGAGTAATGAACAGAGTTTGGAGATGTTTTTGAGATGAAAGAATGAAATCTTGCAAAGGTTTTTAATATGGGATTCAAATGTAAGATGAGAATCAAATCTTACACCAAGATTAGTCACTGTATCAGAAAAAAGAATGTTTTGGGCAGAGGAGATTATGGTAGAGATGGATGTTGAGTGAGTCTGATGTGGGGTACAACCAAAATAGCTTCTGTTTTTGACATGTTTAATTGGAGAAAGTTGGCGTTCATCCAGTCTTTTACCTTTTCAAGACAGGTGGTGAGAGAGGAGAGTGATGAACCTGCAGAACCTATTTTGATATAGAGCTGCAAGTCATCTGCATAACAATGGGAGTGGTGGCGCAGAGATTAGAGAAGATGGGCCTGTGATGATCGGAAAGTCGCAGGTTCAACTCCCGGTACCGTCAACATCAAAATGTGGGTGGAAAAGATAAAACACCCACACCTGCCTCCACCCACATTTGCCCCACTTTGGGCCCCTGAACAAGGTCCTTAACCCCCACCATCTGCTCCCTAAACAGGTCTCTCTTGAAAATGAGTTCTTGTGGCTTGGGTATGTTTACATGGACATAAGTAACCGGATCAAATGGCCGGTCAGAATAAAAGTGTGTCATGTAAACGCTCCGTTCGGGTTATTTTTTGTGTATTCGGCGCGATCCGATATAATTTGTGATCAGAACGAAACGGGTGGTTTACGCCGATCTGAAACCCGATCGGTGCGCATGTAAACGTTTGATCTGTTCGTTTTTATCTGATCGTGAAAAACTGACCTGACTGCGCATGTGTGACTTTGCCATTTCCGCCTGGCTAATGCTAATAATATTAGCATGTCAAGGGAGCAAAACTGGTCGGTGAGCGACAACATTTCTACTAGAAACTCTGAAAGAGCTCAAAATGATCTGTATCACCTG